TAAGTGTTCCTGCTGACCGAAGATTAGCGCATCTGATCGCATAAGGAATTTTACTCCATCCAGGTAACGTCTATTAGCAACCAGATAAGGATCACATGACAGTGTTTCTAGAAAGAAACCGTTCAGTTTGCGTGTTGGTTATTTCAAGTGTACAAAACTGTGTGTGAATGATATATAATGTGATGATACTTGGACTTTCTCCGAGGGCCCTTGGACTTTTCTACTTACTCCGCTCATGTTTTGCACCTTGGTACTTGGAACCAACCGTGTTTTGTTATCTGCAATGACTCATTTTATTAATGGTTTCTGGGAGGTGTTTTGGCTTTCCGTTTACATAATATTCAGTGTGCAATCTTGGTCTTCTCGCTGCTCCGTTTCACCCCTGCCTGCAACATCACAACACACATAAAAACAGTTCTTGGCGGATGGTCATTATTTCTGTTGCTAAACAAGACAGTTGTTAAATGAGCCAGCCCCACTTCTACGACCGTTTTGCCACTTTTCTTAAGCAAATCACTGCACATGTTAAAGAAATCCAGCTTCCCCCGTTGACTTTGCTTGATGGAAGCCAGCTGGGAAGGTCACAAATGGCCATCACACAACCCCGGGATGCGGCAACTGTTGTAAACACAGGTAGTGCTCGACTTACGACCACAACGGAACCCAAAATGTACGTTGCTGGAGACATTGGATAAGCGAGTTTTGTCCCATTTTACGAGCTTTCCTGCCACAGCTGTTAAGTGATTCACTGCAGTGTATAAGTTAGTAACCTGGTCGTTAAGTGAATCCGGCTTCCCCCCCTTTGACTTAGCTTGTCAGAAGGTCGCAAAACGGGATCACGTGACCCCCCCGGGACGCTGCAAGCGTCATAAAATATGAGTCAGTTGCCACGTCTTCAGTGGCTGTTCCAAGTTATGACGGCGCTGAATGAGTGGTCCTTATGACTGGTCCTCAAAGTTCTGGCTGTCCCAGAACTCCCTGCGGTTACGCAATCACAATCTGGACACTTGGCAACTGACATTTACAATGCTTGCGGTGTCATGTAGTCATTTGATAGCGACAGAATTGAACAAATATTTGGAAAGCGTTATATAAACAAAGAGGAGAAAACCGTTCCTCAAATCCAGGAAAATGGGAAGGTCTGTTTCCTGTGATCCCCCTCAATCAATCAGAATAGAGCTGGAAGGGACCTTGGAGGTCTTCTAGTCCAGCCCCCTGCTCAAGCAGGAGACCTTATTCTATTCCAGAAAAGTGACTGTCTAGCCCAGTGGTTCTCAACCTGTGGGTCGGGACCCCATTTGGGGTCGATCGACCATTTCATGGGGGTCGCCAAGCAAGGCTGTCCGCCATTTTTTTTGTCCACCATTTTTTCCCCCTTTTCTGGTGGGTGCCTTACCTCCCTTGGGCTGGGCCAGCTGGTGGTCGGCCTGCTCTTTCTCTGCCGCTTGCCAGCTACGTCTCGGCCGGCACAGGGGGCGGAACCACGCATGCGTGGCGCTCCCTGGCAGGGAAAGTCCTCGACTTACGACCGGTTGGATAGTCCTCGACTTACAACCGGTTTAGTCCTCGACTTACGACCGGTTTAGTCCTCGACTTACGACCGGTTGGGGTCGCGGCATTAAAAAGGTTGAGAACCACTGCCTCTCCTTTAAAAACCTCCAGTGACGGAGCACCCACAACTTCTGGTGGCAAGGTGTTCCAATGGTTAATTGTTCCCACTGTCAGGAACTTTCTCCTTACTTCCTGATTGCTTCTCTCCTTGATGAGTTTCCATCTATTGTTTCTTGTCTTGCCTTCAGGCGCTTTGGAAAATAGGTTGACCCTCTTTCTTCTCTGCGGCAGCCCCTCAAATATTGGAACATTATATTCATCTGTACCCATCTTTCAGATCTCCCAATACTGCACACTTCCCTGCTGTAACTGCAAAGTAGTCCTTAATCCTCTACATAATTATAGTTCCACCTGCCAGCACCACACCTCTATTAGGCGAGCCACTGGCAGTTTGACCAACGGGTTTTATGCAGGTAGAGTTTCTGTTTTTAAGCTTGTAGAAAGAGGCAGCTATATTTTTTTCTTAGCCACAAGGAAGAGAGCCTCGTTGCTGTGTTTGTGGGTCTGTTCCTCCCTTCCCAGTTTGGGGTGAAATGAAGATGGGATTTTCCCAGGGTATAAAACTCTGAAGTGTCCAGAAAGGACAGTTTCTCTAAATCCAGGGGAAAGAAGGAATCAGCTATGGAACAGAAAGAATAGGGAAGTAATTGTTTATGAGATGGCATTTTTTTTCCTGGTTTATTGCAGAAATGGACGCTTGACGGATTTATGCAGCCTTTCCTAAGCTGATATAATCCAGACATGTACACATTTTTCCACACCCCAGAAAGCTGAAAGCAGGGTTTCTCCCATATTTCTCAACAATTTAAGATATGTAGACTTTAACTCATCAAATCTCAAATCCCAACAAATTCAAGGTGTGTAGACTTTAACTCCCAGAATTCTGCAGCCAGCGTGCATCCATCTTAATCCGAAGGTTGAGAGAGATTGGACAATATTTATTTTAATTACTAGATGTTTATGCTTCCTTTATTATTTTTATAAATAGCTCAAGGTTAATAAATAATAATAATAATAATAATAATAATAATAATAATAATAATAATAATAATAATAATAATAATAATAATAATAATAATTGCAAGAAATATCATTTGCCTGTAAGCAAAAACTGGTGGGATCATAAAATAGAGAAAGTCATAGAAAATGATAAAATTAAACTGCTCTGGGACTTCAGAATTCAAACAGACAAGCACCTGCCACATAACGCCCCGGACTTAACAATTGTCGATAAGAAAGACAAAAAAGTCTGGATAGTGGACGTGGCAGTGCCTGGAGACGGCAGAATAGACGAGAAAGAACTGGAGAAGATAACAAAATACAAAGACCTACAAATAGAAATAGAAAGACTGTGGCAAAAGCAAGCAAGGGTGGGACCAATAGTAACAGGCGCCTTGGGTGCAATCCCAAAACAACTGGAGCACCACTTGAACACCATCATCGGCATTGACAAATTCGCCGTAAGTCAATTGCAAAAGACGGCCTTACTAGGAACTGCTTCCATTCTGCGACGATATCTGTAATACCATCAAACATCCACATCTGCCTATCCCAGGTCCTTGGTAAGGACTTGATAGGTAGGCAAAAATGCCAAATCCAGTCTGAACATCTGGCTGACTGTGATGATCCATAATAATAATAATAATAATTTATCTGGTTGTTAGCCGCCCTGAGTCCGTAAGGAGAAGGGCGGGATATAAATTAAATTAATAAATAATAATAATAATAATAATAATAATAATAATAATAATAATAATAATAATATATATATATAAATAAAAATGTAAATGTTCGTTTGTTCAAAATCTTAAATCTCCGAAAGTTCTTCACCGATTGCTTTGAAATTTCGACACAACGTTGCATTCGAATACACGCGTGTTTTTATATACCTACCACTACCACCTGTGACAGGTTAAAAACATGCTCTTTAAAGCATAAAAACGTGCTTTAATGAGCAACGTCGTAGAAGCAACAATCTTGACAGGACCTTTCAAAGGTGAAGACGTCCCCATTCCTCGCATTCCTATGATTCCAACGGATATGCCATTTCAATGTAAGAGATTGCAATTCCCAATTCGATTGGCCTTTGCAATCACCATCAACAAAGCTCAGGGCCAATCTTCAGAATTGTGCGGTTTAGATCTAGACACGGATTGCTTCTCACATGGACAATTATCTGTTGCGTGTTCTAGAGTCGGCAAACCAGACAATCTCTATATCTGCACGGACAATGGAACAACAAAAAATATTGTATGCCCACAAGCATTGTGAAATTAAACATATTACAAACGTGCGCTTTCTCTTTTCTTTCTTTTCCATTTAACCAGACTGAGCCACAGCAATGCGTGGCCGGGTACAGCTAGTAGTAATAATAATAATAATAATAATAATAATAATAATAATAATAATAGTAATAATAGAAAGTTTCTCCTTAGTTCTAGGTTGCTTCTCTCCTTGATTTGCTCTTCTCTGAATTTTTTCCAAACTCTTTTCCCAAACAATTTTTTATTAATTTAAAAAAACCCAACCAAATACAGGCATACATTAATATCAATAACAACTCATCTGCTTCTCAAAAATTTAGCATCAGTACCCCTGATTATTTTATATCTATTTCTACCCACCCACCCACTCCCAATCCCCCCCCCGGACTTCCCAGAATTGATTACAGGGTTACAAACACCTCATCCCAAGTCAAAATATAAGTACCCAAATTTAAAACAAACAAGTATAAACATCCTTTAACTCTAAACATAAAAAAACAATCAAATAAAACTCTAAGCATATAACTAATAATAATCTATCCATCTTCCCCAAGTCACACTGAAAATTAATCTTGCAAATATGCGGAAATCTTTACCATTTCTTCAAGACTTAAACATAATAATATCCTTAATTATAATAAACATTATAAAATTTACTCATAAGCTAAAAAACATTTATCACTTTCTAACTTTCTCTGAATATAATCTACCCATCTTTTCTAAAATTTAAACAACAACAATCTTACCACTATTATAACATCAGCATCACATGCGTCTCTTTAAAATTCAAATCCCATAATAAAGTACGAATTATACCCCATGTAATTTTTTCCAAACTCTTAACATGTTTTTTTGTGCTAAGGGGACCAAAACTGGCTGCTGTATTCCAGGTGTGCGGCGAGGGTCGCAATTGTCGCCCGTTTCTCCTTTGAAGTCCTCGAACGCCCGCCTCCTTTGGCCACGCCCTCGACGCCCCGCCCCGCCCGCGCGCGTAGACACGCCTCTCCCGCTCCCGGCCCCTCCCCCCTTCCCTCAGAGGGAGGCCGTGGCGCGGCGCTGCCCCTCCAGAGACCGGCCTGAGAGCCGGCGGGGCGGAGCGGGGTCCCTCGGCGGCTGGCTCGGGCCATGGACGAGCTGCTGCTGCTGCCCACGGCCGTCCTGGAGGTCTGCGTCCTGCTCGGAGCCTCCCGGGAGAAGGCGAGAGAGGCGCGTCAGGTAAACACGCGTCGCGGGGCGGCGGCCGCCGGGAGGGAACGTCGGAATGCGCCCCCCCGATGGGTTAGGGGGGTCGCCTCCCCCCCCCGGGGCTGTTTGGACCGGCGGGCCTCGTGAGGTTCCCCCCTCCCCGGGTCTTTCCCTTCCTTCGCCGGCCCGCCTCGTTCCCGCGACGGCCGGAGCCGCGAACGTGGGAATGGCCGGTCTTTCGTAAGGAGGAGGAAGAGGAGGAGGAGGAAGCTTTTCCCGGATGAAACCTGCGTGTCGCGTCTTCCCCGTGAAACACCTGGCCGCCCTTCACCTTCAGCGGGTCACCTGTCTTGGGGATCTAATGAAGGCTTGGCTTATCGGGTTTTTTTTTTATAGCCTTTGGAGAAATGTACCGTGTGTGTGTGTGTGTGTATGTATAATATCGAATAGTTGCTGTACGACCTTTAAGTACAGGTAGTCCTCGACTTATGACCACAAATACACACACACACACACACACAAACAAATACACACACACACACACATATACAGGTAGTTCTCTATCTATCTATCTATCTATCTATCTATCTATCTATCTATCTATATCTATCTATACACACACACACACACACACACACACACAGGTAGTTCTCTCTCTCTCTCTCCTATATATAATATCTCTCTATATCTATCTATCTGTCTGTCTGTCTGTCTGTCTGTATCTATCTATCTATCTACCTATCTATCTATCTATCATCCATCCATCTATCTATCTATCTATATATCTATACACACACACACACACACACACACACACACACACACACAGGTGTCTCTCTCTCTCCCTCTATATATAATACACACACACACACACACACACAGGTAGTTCTCTCTCTCTCTCTCTATATATATATATATCTGTCTGTCTGTCTATACACACACACACACACACAAACACAAACACACGTAGTCCTTGACTTACGACCACAACGGAGCCCAGGATTTATGCTGCTAAGTGAGACATTTCTTAAGCGAGCTTTACCCCGTTTGATGACTTTTCTTGCTACGTTTGTTAAGTGAATTGCTGCAGTTCATTAAATTAGGAACATACAAATAGTTCTCGACGGATGATCATTATTGGGACTGGAATTTCTGTTGCTAAGCAAGGCAGTTGTTAAATGAGCCGGCCCCACTTTTAGGACCGTTTTGCCACCTTTGTTAAGCGATTCACTGCAGCTGTTAAGGGACTCCAGCTCCACCCCCCTGTTGACTTTGCTTGATGGAAGCCAGCTTGGAAGGTCACAAATGGCCATCACACAACCCCGGGATGCGGCAACTGTTGTAAACACAGCTAGTCCTCGACTTAACGACCACAATTGAGCCCAAAAATTTATGTTGCTAAGTGAGACGTTTGTTAAATGAGATTTGCCCCATTTTACCACTTTTCTTGCCACGGTTGTTAAGCGACTCACTGTGCCGTTGATCAGATAGTCACACGGTTGTTAAGTGAATCCGGCTTCCCCATGGACTTTGCGGGTCGGAAGGTCGCAAAAGGGGATCCCGTGATCCCGGGACACATGCAACCGTCGTAAATATGAGCCAGTTACCCAGCATCACGTGACATGAGGATGCCGCAACAGTCGTAAGTCTGAAAAATGTTCACAAGTGCGCTTTTTTCAGTGCTGTTGTAACTTCGGTCCCTAAGTGAACCGTCGTAAGTCAAGGACTGCCTATATTTATTTATTTTTATAAACTTCGTATGAATTGACCAGGTCTTAGCAGAGATTGTGGGGGAGATTTGGAAAAATGGCAGACCCCCCCCTGGAATACAGGAAGACTTCGACCTACAATCACAAAAAGAACATTTCCGTTTCTAAGTAAGACATTTGTGAAGTGAGTTTTGCCCCATTTTACGGCTTTTCTCACCACCATTGTTAAGCGAATCGCTGCGGTTGTTAAGTTGGTAACACGGTTGTTCAGTGAATCTGGCTTCCCTGTGGATTTTGCTTGCCCGAAAGGGGATCACGTGACCCCGGGACACTGCAACCGTCGTAAATATGAGTCAGTTGCCAAGTGTCTGAATTTTGATCATGTGACCCTGGGGATGCTGCAATGGTCATAAGTGCAAAAAATAATCGTAAGTCGCTTTTTTCGATGCCACTGTAACTTTGAAAGATAATAATAATAATAATAATAATAATAATAATAATAATAATAATAATAATAATAATTAATAATAATGAAGTTGGAAGGGACCTTGGAGGTCATCAAGTCCAACCCCCTGCTCAGGCAGTTAACCCTATACCATTTCAGACAAATGGCTGTCCAGTCTCTTCTTAAAAACTTCCAGTGTTGGAGTATTCACTGCTTCTGGAGGCAGGTTGTTCCACTGGTTAATTGTTCTAACTGTCAGGAAGTTTCTCCTTAGTTCCAGGTTGCTTCTCTCCTTGATTAGTTTCCATCCGTTGCTTCTTGTCCTGCCTTCAGGCGCCTTGGAGAATAGCTTGACTCCTTCTTCTTTGGGGCAGCCCCTGAGATACTGGAATACTGCTATCATGTCCCCCCCCTTGTCCTTCTCTTCATTAAACTAGACATACCCAATTCCAGCAGCCTTTCCATATATACTTTAGCCTCCAGTCCCCTAATCATCTTTGTTGCTCTTCTCTGTACTCTTTCTAGAGTCTCAACATCTTTTTTACATCGTGGTGACTAAAACTGGATGCAGTATTCCAAGTGTGGCCTTACCAAGGCCTTGTAAAGTGGTATTAATACTTCACGTGATCTTGAATCTATCCCTCTGTTAATGCAGCCCAGCACTGTGTTGGCTGCATTGGTCACTAAATAAACCACTTTAAGTTGAGAACTTAATTGCTGTACGACCTTGAAGAGAGGTGATTGTTTTGCTGTTGTCGGCTAAGGAGTTCAGCACTGTTTTTTTTTTAATTTTAATTGTATTCAAATACAAATAATACAAACATAATACATATGTCTAAATAAAAAACAGTATAAAAAATAATAAATACCACAGTGCACCCGCCCTCCTGAAGACCATTTTTATTACCTATATTTCTTCTCCTATAACAATTAACAATATACAATATATTTCAATTGTGCCCTTGTCCCCTCCAAAACAGCATATATTCTTGAGCAGGTATTATTCCCTTTGCCTTCCACCAAAGACTGTTTTTATAAAAAACAGCACTGTTAATTTCCCAATGGAAAGGCCCGATTCTGACGCTGAGGTTTGAATTTATTACTTATTTTGCACCCATTAAATTCATTTGCTGCTCACTTCATTATCGAAGCAACTCTGGACAGCTTGCCATAGAAGCAAAGCAAAAATACCACAACTTTAAAAATATGAAAAACATTAAAATGAACCGGGATTGGATACAGTTGGGAATCAAGTTACACCTCTGGTACAGAGGTTATTCAACTATTTATCCAATATTTATTAAATTGATATGATGCCCATCCCGCTCTCAAAACAAGAAAAACAAGATTATACAACATTAAACATATTAAAAACATTAAAATTAGAGATTGGACACAACTGGGAACCAAGTATAGGCATGGTACTGAGGTTATTTGCTATTAAGCCATTATTTATTAAGCTTATTTGCTTACTATATCTCTATTTGACAATGTGCAGCTTATGTTACAATAAAAGCAAGAATATACAGGTGGTCCTTAACTTATAGTAGTTAGTATTTAATATTTATTTAGTATTTAATATTTATTTGCTATTTAATATTTATTTGCTATGTATATGTAGGGGTGTGGGTCTATACATATGTTATACATAGTATGTTTTGGTGTGTGTCATGTACGTGTTTCATTTTGAGAGGGAGCAACTAAATTTCATTTTTGATGTGTGCCGTTGTGCCCACAGTAAGAAAATGACAATAAAGGTTATCTTACCTTGTTTAGTGACCATTCAAAGTTATAACAGCACTGGCAAAAGTGATTTATGACTGTTACCAACTTTATGAGCATTGCAGCTTTTCCGTGGTCACGTGATCAAAATTCAGCTGCTTGGCAACTGACTCATATTTATGACGGTTGCGGCGTCCCAGGTCACGTGATCCCCTTTTGCGACCTTCTGGCAAACAAAGATAACGGGGAAGCAAGCTTCACTTAACAACGTCAACAGCTGAAGTGACTCACTTAACGGCTATGGCATCAAAGGTTGTAAAATGGAGCAAAACTCACTTAACAACCGTCCCGCTTAGCAATGGAAATTTTGGGCTCAATGGTGGTCGTAAGCTGAGGACTACCTATAAAATGTTAAAAAGCTTGACATCATTAAACTGAACAGGAATTGGATATAATTAGGAATCGGGTAGACAGGTGTGGAGGTGGGATCTACTTTTCGTGGTCCACCAGCCCCCTCTGTAAGCCATTATCTTATTGTCCTTGAGTTTTTAAAATCACAATTATTCGACTCTGGGTGCTTATTTTTTCTTACCTTTTTGCCACCACAATCCTCCAATAAACATCTGCATCTTCTACCTCTTCTTATTTAAGAGGTTGCCTTTTTTTTTTTTTTTTGCGTGTGAAAATGTTGGACACCTTGACAACACCTCTTATTATCTGAAGTTGGGGGAAGAGATTAACTTAAGGCTCTTGGCATCTGTTTCACTTTTTCTCTTTGGTTGCGATGCTGTCAGGCTTCAAATTCTTTTGCGTACTAAGTTTGTTGATGATAGTGTGCTAATTTTGGTTCAACCCGATCTGAAGCCTCACAGGCGGCATCAGAAACCTTTGAACGCAACCTTATATCCGTGGCTGGAAAGTAATCACATGAACAGCATTTGATCATTGTCACATTTAACAATAAAAATAAATAAATAACATTTAACATTTGTTCTGGCCCCATCCGCTACTTTTAAATTGTTCCACAAGGCTCTGGCCAAAAATGTCCCATTAATTAAAAAAAAAATATTACGTGCCTTTGGGAAGGAGAAGGATGACTGACTAGTGTTACATTTCTGTGAAACTCTTACTTAGCAACTATTTGCCTAATGGAGAATAGCGTTTTGTCTGTTTTGCATGACACTTACATGTTGCAATAAGGGTGGGAGGAACGTATCTTCCCATTTGCAAACCTCAGTAAAAGAAACAGGATGTCACTGAGCCGATTTTATTTTTCTTTAATTGGCTGAAATTTATATCAGTAGTGTTGCTCATTTCCCTTCTTTATAACATTTGTTTTTCTGGTTTAAGAAAATGCAGAATGATGCTGTCTACTTGTTAATTCTCACAGACTGTTCTGTCAACTGCTACCATGTTCAGTGCTACTAAGCAGATCCGGTATTAAGCAAAGCTGTAGTTTTGAAGTGGGTTGTTAAATATGATTTTGCCTAATGCCTCTATTGACACATGGAGATGTTGCCTTATTTTTTTGGCTTCACAAGTGTTAATATTGCTTTGAGTTCAGGGAATTGAATGAGCCAGGAAGAATATTTTGAACTTGGTTACTAGTCTTACTCTCCTATTCCCTATAGCTCTTACTTAGCTGTGTAGTTTCAAGGATAGCACGCCTAATTTTCATGCATGGTATCTTATCTAATACAAAAACAGCAGAATAGAGCATTGTGATTAGCATTAGAAGATAAATAGCCTACTAAATAGAAGGAAGTTCTAACTAGGTTTGTGTTATGTTAGTCCTCTATTTACAGCTATTTAGTGAGGGGGTCAATCTATTTTCCAAGGCGCCTGAAGGCAGGACAAGAAGCAACGGGTGGAAACTAAGCAAGAAGAGAAGCAATCTAGAACTAAGGAGAAACTTCCTGACAGTGAGAACAATTAACCAGTGGAACAACCTGCCTCCAAAAGTTGTGAATGCTCCAAGACTGCAAGTTTTTAAGAAGAGACTGGACAGCCATTTGTCCAAAATAGTATAGGGTTTCCTGCCTGAGCAGGGGGTTGGCCTAGTTGGTCATCTAGTCCAATGTACCACCTCCTCCTCCTCCTCCTCCTCCTCCTCCTCCTCATTATTATTATTATTATTATTATTATTATTATTATTATTATTATTATTATTATTATTATTATTATTATTATGTTCAGCGTTACAATGGCACTGAAAAAAGTGACTTACAACCATTTTTCACACGACCTTTGCAGCATCCTCACGATCACGTGATCAAAATTCGGATGCTTGGCAACTGGTTCATATTTATGACGGTCGCCGTGTCTCGGGGTCACGTGATCCCCTTTTGCGATCCTCCTGACAAGCAAAGTCAATGGGGGAAGCCGGATTCACTTAGCAACCATGTTCCTAACTTAACAACCGCAGCAATTCTTTTAAAAACGGGGCAAGGAATGTCATAAAATGGGGCAAATCTTCGCTTAGCTGACTAGCATAGCAACGGCAGTTTTGGGCTCAATTGTGGTGGTGAGTTGAGGACTACCTGCAGAGGGAAAATAGCTGGCCAGGTTTCTCACACCCACTGTAATTTTGCAATGTGAGGTATGATGAGAATGACGCTAGATACCAAGATTGAGACACAGAGCTATACTTGGCACGGTATAGACAGACAGACAGGCAGACAGACAGACATCAGGGGTAGGCAACCTTGGCTCTTTTATGACTCGTGGACTTCAACTCCCAGAATTCCTGAGCCAGCCATGCTGAGGGGAAAGGGAGAGGTTTCCAAGCTGAGCCATGCTGGCTCAGGAATTCTGGGAGTTGAAGTCCACAAGTCATAAAAGAGCCAAGGTTGCCTACCCCTGGCCTAGATGATAGATAGGTAGGTAGGTAGGTAGGTAGGTAGGTAGGTAGACAGACAAACAGACAGACAGACAGACAGACAAACAGACAGACAGACAGACAGACCTACATCAGGGGTAGGCAAGCTTGGCTCTTTTATGACTCGTGGACTTCAACTCCCAGAATTCCTGAGCCAGCCATGCTGAGGGGAAAGGGAGAGGTTTCCAAGTTGATCCAGGCTGGCTCAGGAATTCTGGGAGTTGAAGTCCACGAGTCATAAAAGAGCCAAAGTTGCCTACCCCTGGCCTAGATGATAGATAGATAGATAGATAGATAGATAGACAGACAGACAGACAGACAGACAGACAGACAGACAGACCTACATCAGGGGTAGGCAACCTGGGCTCTTTTATGACTCGTGGACTTCAACTCCCAGAATTCCTGAGCCAGCCATGCTGAGGGGAAAGGGAGAGGTTTCCAAGTTGAGCCAGGCTGGCTCAGGAATTCTGGGAGTTGAAGTCCACGAGTCATAAAAGAGCCAAGCTTGCCTATCCCTGGTATAAAGTATGCTTCTTTGCTCAGAACGAGATGATTTATTTCCTTCTGTTACAGCACATGTTGTAATGCGATGGCACAATCTCTTTCTCTCTCCAGGCTGAGTCATCAGAGTTCATAAAACTATTTCCAATCAACTTATGAGGAAAAACAACTGAGAAAATTTCCAAGGGTACTATTGTTCATCCTATCTTTAAAAAAAAATAAATCTCATTTTTCCATCTATGAGCAGGTTATTTTTGCTCAGCTAGTTCCTCAGTTATGTAATCCATTACACCATTCAGCATTTAAAAACACATTATTGCCAAAAAGTGGGAAGGAAAGAAAGCATAGATTTCTGAAAGCACGTTTAACAAGATTCCCCTTGTGGGCGCATGTATGCACACACACACACACACACACACACACACACACAGAGAGAGAGAGAGAGAGAGAGAGAGAGAGAGAGATGGCTGTATTTAATGTTATTGTGTGGATGTACATTACAGAGCTCATTGGAAATAATGGCTGATCCTATAGAGCAGGGCTTTTCAACCAGTGGTACGGGTACCACCTGTGGTACATTGGCACCTGGCAGGTGGTGCACGACAATCCTAGAAAAGTGGTAGCGGGGAGGGGAATGAGCTGAACCGGTGGCAGCACCGCACAAGCCTGAGCGAGAGACGGCTGGAGCTGCAGGGCTGTCAGGGCTCAGTGGAAGCGCCAGGATCAGCGCCAGGCTCCAGCTGGAGCTTGGCGCTGATCCTGGCGCTTCTGCTGAGCCCTGAAGAAGCACCAGTCAGCTGGAAAGCAGCACTGATCCTGGCGCTTCTGTTGAGCCCAGAAGAAGCGCCGATCAGCTGGAATGTTGCAGCATCTCCAGGGTCTTGTGATTTACATTCAGATGCTTGGCAACTGATTCATATTTATGTCGGTCACAGTGTCCCAGGGTCATGTGAAGTGACCACAACCTGCTGCAACCACCCAGCAGACGGAGGGAATAAAAACCAAACACCCCCCACCCCACCCCCGCTGCCAATCCTCAACAGAAATGCTCACAACAATGAAAACCTTGGACAGGAGGAAGAGCGCCGCCGGGCGCTGTCTTGCTCGGCTGTGGCTTGGGGGGCACTTTTTTCAGTGCCATTGTAACTTCGAACAGTCAGTAAGCGAACTGTTGTAAGTCAAGGACTACCAGTACTTTATCACTTTTTTCCTTTTTTTTTTTTTGGTCATCAAGTTTTTGACACCTTGCTAGGCGACTGGTGGTACTCGGATGTTGCCATATCCTAAAAGTGGTACAATGGGGGAAAAGGTTGAAAAGCCCTGCTCTACAGCAGGGCTGCCTAACCTTAGCAACTTTTAGACTTGTGGACTTTAACTCCCAGAATTCCCCAGCCAGCCATGCTGGGGGGAAGCCCACAAGTCTTAAAAGCTGCCAAGGTTGGACAGCTCTGCTATAGAGTGTGAAGCTGGAGGTCTCAATCCCTCTCCCAGAAGTCATTGGATTATCACACTCTGACTCCCACCTCTTGCTAGGGATAGTAAAGCAGTAGTTTCTGTGACCACTACTTATCTTGCAAGTAGTGCCTGGGGATGTAAGAGGGATGGGGCTTGCATCCTCTCCTATCATTCTGGCAATGAACAAGGAAAACAAAAAAAGAAATAATTCCTAGAACGTTAACTCCTGACCAGAGAGCATTGAGATGTGTGACTAGGGGTTTCCAGCAATTTCCTTGGGAGATAAGACAATCTCATAAGAGATAAACAAAATCAAACATTATTTATACAAACATGAACTGTAATAACATTTAACATTAAAATGCAAACATACAGACCTGCTGAGACGAAGGGTAAAAGGCAGCTTCGGAATGAAATTCCAAAAGAAAATACAATTGCTGCAAGATGGTGCCGATTTGTTATGAATAAATTAATTAAAACTTGCTGGAAAGACCCTGGAGCAGGATTTTGAGGTCTTCTTGAAAATTGTAGAAATGTTTTTTTTAAAAACAACAACTGAGCATGAAGCATTTTTTTCCCCATAAGATTATATAAACCAAACCAGTTCCACTCTAAATTGAGAACAGTTGGTAGGTGTGGCGGCCTTTTTACAAATGCCAGTGGATTTTTTGGCACGCAAGTTAAACAATGAGTTTTGTAATGACATCAGTTGCATGCTATTGTTTACATTTTCTCTGCCAGGTTTTGGGATACCGTAGCATTCTTGAAAATAAAGATTACGCTAAATGTTTTTAGCACTTTGGTTTGTGCCCTTTGGTGATAAAATTTACAACTTGATGGGCAAAGTCTTGATATTCAAGGGCCATACTTATAATTTTGGAGGGCTGAGGGCTACAATGTCAAGGGGGTCACCGAGCTAGTTTGGTGAAGTAGCAAAGGTGCTGGACTTTACAACGAGAGGCTGTGAATTCTAGTCCTCCCTTAGGGATGAAAACCTCATCTGGGCCAGCTGTTCACTTTAGAGCTCAACCACCTCACAGAACTAGGATGTTGTGGTGTGGAAAGTGGGAGACGGGAGCATTGCTGGCACCATTTTGAATTGTACGATAAAAGTGGGCTAGAAGTCTAATACTAAGTAAGTTAATAATAGGTTTTGGTTCAGGGTTAAATAATATCAAGGGGAGAAGCAACCTAGAACTAAGGAGAAATTTCCTGACAGTTAGAACAATCAGTGGAACAACCTGCGTCCAGAAGTTGTGAATGCTCCAACACTGGAGGTTTTTAAGAAGAGACTGGACAGCCATTTGTCTGAAATGGTATATGGTATAGGGTTTCCTATACCATTTCCTGAGCAGGGGGTTGGACTAGAAGACCTCCAAGCTCCCTTCCAACTCTGTCTATTCTATTCTATGCCATGCCATGCCATGCCATGCCATTCCATATTTTCTATTCTATTCCATTCCATTCCATTCCATTCCATATATTCTATTCTATTCTATTCTATTCTATTCTATTCTATTCTATTCTATTCTATTCTATTCTATTCCATTCCATTCCATTCCATTCCATTCCATCCCATCCCATCCCATCCCATCCCATCCTATTCTATTCTATTCTATTCTATTCCATTCCACTCCACTCCACTCCACTCCACTCCACTCCACTCCACCCCACTCCACCCCACCCCACTCCACCCCATTCCATTCCGTTGGCAGGACTATAGAGGAATTCTTTGTTTTATAATTGTTACGTATCTGTTTTAGGGCCTATGCCATGGCTTCTATTGGTTTCCCATCTGAAGGTATCTTCAGTTTTTAGCAGTCATTAGAGAACCTGTGACCCATTAGGTCATTTCAGAGAACACTTGCATATCCCCTTGTACTCTCTCCGACCCATCCGGTGTCCCTTGCATACCCCCCTGACCTATATGGCACTTGCCCTGTGTACCCCCTCCCCAACTCAGCTGCAGCCATTTACCTGCATGCCGGCCTCGGACTTCTGACTTCCTGCTGGCTTCCCCATTGACTTTCCTTGTGGGAAGCTAACAAGGAACTGACGATCATGTGACAATGGCTAACTGCGGCAGCAAAACGGCACCGAAGTGGCCCATAACGTTGCCAAATGTCAATCCCATGGGAGTCATAGGTCCAGGATTTTGGACACATTCTTCAAGTTAGTACATTTGAGGAATGCCGACTCAAAATTTGTGGCCCTACGGTGCCCCATTTCACGCAGTCAAAAGTTACAAACGATCAAACATACATGAGAATTTTAGCAGTAAATAGATGAGATTCCAGGAGGCTTCTGAGCGCTACTCAAAAGTATTTGGAAAATGCAGGTTGCCAGTCCCTCTTTCAGCAGGAAAGAGCTGCTCAATATTAAAAAGGTGATTTGACATACTGCCCGTCACAGTATCTTGATTCTGGTATTATTATTATTTTTTAGCTTGCACAACAGAAGGACGTGAGAACCGTTCCACTTGAACCAGAGATTCTTTCCGTTTTTGTGCCTCCCTTTATCAGCAAGGAAGACCTGCAAGCTCTTCCTTTAAATAGCAATGCTCTCAATAAAGCCAAGCGCCGTTCTTTCCGGAAAAAGAAAGAGAAATTTAAGACGGAGGACGCAAAGGCTCTGAACGGAGCCCCCAAAACACCGGAGGATGAAGACATCACCGTCCCCAAAGATGTTGACCTGAATGGATTGCCTCAGCTTTGCTTTCCAGGTATTTTTTTTTATTTATAAGTTGTGTTAAGTCAGAGGTCCCCAACCTTTTGGGCACCAGGGACCGGTTCCAAAGATAGACGTTTTTCCGCGGACCGAAGGGTGCGTGGTTTTGTGTGCTGCCTGCATCAAGCGGATGGGGCTTTGCTTGTTTGTGCAGCCCAGTTGCTGGCCTAGTACCGGTCCACAGACCGGGGGTTGGGGACCCCTGGTATAAGTCACCTCTTTGCATAGGCCTGAGCGTGTGACTAAAGATTTTGTGTGACTTGCGTTTGAGCAACCAGTATCGAGGTTCGCTAACATTTGCAGCCACCTATGGTCCCCGACTTCCATGCACAGTTAGGACAGGAACTTCTGTCGCTAAGCAACACAGTTGTTAAGTGAGTCACACTCAATTTTATGACCTTTTTGTCCTGGTCGTTAAACAAATCATTAAGCTTATCCAGCTTCCCCCATTTTGACTTTGCTTGTCGGAAGCTCTCTGGGAAGGTCACAAATGATGGATCACGTGACCCTGGGGAGCTGCAACCGTCGCAAATAACAGGCCAGTTGCCGAGTTCCCAAATTCTGATCGTGTAACTGCGAGGACGCTGCAGTGGTAGTGCAATGCAAGGAGCAGTTGTGACGTTTTTCGGCCCCATGGTAACTTCAAACAGTCTGTCAGAGCATGCACAGTCCTATTGTGCTGAGGTAACCCAGGAGTAAAGGCAGTACAGTGGTTTGTAATTAAATGATGGTTTATAGCACACTATTTACAAATATACCCTAGAAACAGAATACATGCACGTGGTGAAACAGCAAACTCTAATACACAGCAGTTACAGCGGTCAAACGGATGAGAGAGAAAAACTCCAATAAAAAACTTCCCTTTTATACTCAGCCTCTTAAAGGCACAGACACAGACCCTGCTGAGTCATTCCTAATATTGCATTGTTGAAGGAAAAGTCTTCATCATGGTTCAGTCCAAGCCAGGAATAAACAACATGTTGACTGTTTTAGAAAGAAGGTTGCAGTTTATTGAAGAGGAGAGCCAGACAAAAAGATGGCTCTGGAAAAAAAGAGAGCAAGCACATGTAGGGAATGGGTTTTTATACCCTCTGGAGCCTTTTGTTTGGAGTTGTCCCTGTGGCATGAACTTTGACCTGAGTCTGAGTGTGCCCTTTGGCATTTGTGGGTTAATCCTATTATGTCCTGTCTTAGAGTTTGGGTGGGGCATGTAGATTTTAGGCATCTTTGTCTTCTTAATCTTCTAGCTGGGGGCCTCCAACCTTCTTGGATTATTTACATCTGCATTTCTACAGAGCTGGTTTCTGCTTGGGGGAGGGAGACTTGGGGCTATTAAGAAAAACTGGGCATGCTTGTCTGCCTCTTTAATATTTCCTTCTCGGTGTGTGTGTGTGTGTGTGTGACTTCCCACAGCATCATCCTGTCATTGCATCATCCACATTGCATTCCAACTTTACATAAGCTGTTTAGCTGTTAAATTATTACCCTGACACAGTCATTAAACAAATGGTCATAAGTCAAGGACCACTTGTACATTGGTGAGGTTGTAAAGGCCGGGCTTTACATCTCAAATTAAGGTTTCTTTTAATCTGGTTTGTTTGTTTGTTTATTCCTTCGTCTTATACACTGCCAAACTTTAAATGACTCCTCGTGGCTCACAGCAAGATCTGGCACGATCTTCTCCAGCTTGAGTGATCATATCCAACGGGAAGAAACAATGATCGATTCCACATTTTTGGGGAGGTTTATGGGATGTGGGGAGAAGGTGCTGCTTTCTGTGGCAGCGCCAGCACTATGGAACAACCCCCCCCTTGGTAGAGATCAGGTTGTCCCCCCCCCCTCGCTGGTATTTTGGAAAAAAATTTTAAGGTGTTGTTTTGGAGAGCTGTCCTCTGATTTTATCACGGCGTTTCTAACTTCTGTTGTTAATGTTTATATGTTTAAATTTGGTAGATGTTTGCTTTTATTGTTTTTATGGATTTGCATACCACGGATGGTTTATTAGTTTTGCATCTTATGTAAACCACTGGAAGTTTCCTGACTGCTGTATAGAGAAATGTGAACAATAATAAATCAGAACATGCAAAAGTTTGCCATATCAACAGAATCAAAATAAACTAAATAAATAGCCGTGCTGGCACAGTGGTTAGAATGCAGGATTGCAGGCTGACTCTGCCCACTGCCAGCAGTTCGATTCTGACCGGCTCAAGGTTGACTCAGCTTTCCATCCTTCCGAGGTCGATAAATGAGGACCCAGATTGTTGGGGGCAACACGCTAGACCTGTAAACTGCTTAGAGAGGGCTGTATAAAGCACTGTGAAGCGGTATATAAGTCTAAGTGCTTTTGCTATTGCTCATCTATCCATCCATCCATCCATCCATCCATGATGTGCAGTGGTTAGAATGCAGGATTGCAGGCTAACTCTGCCCACTGCCAGCAGTTCAATCCTGACCGTGCTCAAGGTTGACTCAGCTTTCCATCCTTCCGAGACCTGTAAACTGCTTAGAGAGGGCTGTATAAAGCACTGTGAAGCGATATATAAGTCTTAAGTGCTTTTGCTATTGCTCATCCATCCATGATGTGCAGTGGTTAGAAAGCAGTATTGAAGGCTAATTCTGCCCACTGCCGGGAGTTCAATCCTGACCAGCTCAAGGTTGACTCATCCTTCTGAGGTTAGTAAAATGAGGACCCAGATTGTTGGGGGCAACATGCTGACTCTGTAAACCGCTTAGAGAGGGCTATAAAGCACTATAAAGCGCTATATAAGTCTAAGTGCTATTGCTATAATAATGATTGACCCTCAACAAAGGAAGTCAACCGGCACAACACCATGCGATCTACCCTGTGCGGCACACGCAACACATTTGAAAATATCCTGTGATGAGTCTTGATTCTGGGGCCTTGCATCTGAATGTCTGAAGGTGATTTGTCAGGATTATTCAGACATTGTTCTGTCTTCTTACTTTGGACCAGTGGGTCAACTCTGCTTCCCTTGCACGTCCTTTAAGACTAAAATGTGTCATCCTGTGAAATCTTCAGAGTGTTCTTGGAGAACAAGTTATATTTATTTTGTGGATGTTTTTATTGTTTTCATGCCTTTCAAATTGTTTTAAGAGTTTTATACTTGTAGAATTGTAAGCTGCCCAGAATCACTTGGTTGAATTTGGGGGTTATAGAAATTGGATGGGTGGATGGATGGATGGATGGATGGATGGACAAACCAATGCCATGGCAGAATAAAATGTGCCCTCCCTTTGATAGTCACAACAGGGTATGCTTGGAGAGTCTTATTTGCTGTGTTACATGGGTTGTGGGCAAAGCAGGATCTGCTGAATCCACCTGACAAGTTAAAATGGGTTTATTTCATTGGTCCACGGAGAATATGTTCATTGTTTTCTTTTCAGCAGCAATTTTATTATCATTGTTGGCTTGATTTGTGGATGGTTTTAATTGTTTCTCCACTTGGAATCAGTTGGGAGCAGAGTGGCCTAGAAATGCTGTAAATTGGCGGCCCCCAACCTTTTGGGCACCAGGGACCAGTTCCGTGGAGAGGGGATTTTCCGTGGACCGGAGGGGGCGTGGTTTCGCGTGCTGCCTGCATCCCACAGATGGGGCTTCGCTTATTTGTGGCGACCGGTTTCTGGCATGCCGTGGACCGGTACTGGTCCATGGCTTGGCGGTTGGAGATCCCTGCTATAAATAAACAAATGAATGAATTACTGGGTTTAGTCCATAGTAATCTAGTTCCTTACTCATCGATTTACAACCATTTGTTTAGGTGACCATTCAAATTTACAACAGCACTGAAAAGAGGGACTTTGGATTATTTTTCACACTTACGACCATTGTGGCATCCCCAGGGTCACACGATCAAAATTCAGACGCTTGACAACTGGTTCATACTTACGACCGTTGCAGCATCCCACAGTCACGTGATCCCCTTTTGCAACCTTCTCTTTTTTTTGGTATAGATTTTATTAGTTTTTATGGGGTTAGGAATAAGATGGGGTCGGGGTTGGGATTAGGATTCAGGTTAGGATTAGGGTTTTTCCAAGTAACATTCTCAATATTTAGCAAACAGCATAATGTCTGGGTTCATGTATTTAACAAACAATAGAAAATAGTTAATTATCATAAACAATATGTTAATTCATCACTCAATCTTGCTAATATAGATTCAAAATTACATATCACGTCCCTTTCTCTCTAATTCGTCTTTCTAGCCATTGATAGAAATTATATCCCACGTTCTAAAGTAGACGGAGTCTTCTTTCTCTTTAATCTTTAAAGTCAATCTATCCATTTCTGCCCACTCTAGAATTTTCTTAATTAGTACTTCTTCAGCTGGTAAGTTTTCATTTTTCTAAGGTTGGCCGAATACAATTCTTGCCGCCGTTAGTACGTGTAATACAGTGATGGCGAACCTTTTAGAGACTGAGTGCCCAACAACCGCCCCCTGCCCCTGCTCCGCCTCCCACCCTGCCTGCTCCGCCCCCACCCGCCCCCTGCCCCGCCCACCTGCAGGGACATGCACCGCCTCCATGACCCGCAGCAGATCACCCAGGCAGCCCTGCAGCACCATGGCAGCCACGCCCTCCGCCCACGCCCCGCAGCATCATCTGCACGCTATGGGGTGCGAGGGCGGAGTCGTGTCCCTGCTGCCCGGCTATGTCCTTGGCTGCGCTGCTCCGTGTGGGCCACACCCGGGGGTGATTCTCCTCCAGGGAGGCTGCTGGTGAGGTGGGGGCCACAGGGAGGCGGGGCTAGGTCGACAGCACGCGTACCCACAGAGAGGGCTCCGAGTGCCGCCTCTGGCACACGTGTCATAGGTTTGCCACCACTGGTGTAGTATTAAATATCTGCAATCTTTCTCATAATTAGCTCCTACTATTCCTAACGAAAATAATTCTGGTTTTGCAACCTCCTGGCAAAGTGAACGGGGAAGCCAGCCCTGTGATTAATTTAACAACCGCAGCGATTCACTTAACAACTGTGGCAAGAAAGGTGCGTAAAGCGAGACAAAACTCACTTAACTCTTTCACTGAGCAACATAAACTTTGTTCTCCTTTGTGGTCGTAAGCTGAGGACCTCCTGCCGTTAAAAAGGGCTGATTTTTGTCAGCCCTGCTACAAGGTCAGAGGTTGATAAATACGTGCATTACGGTCCTTTCTCTGATGCCGTGTTGTGTGTGTCTTGTGCTGTTTTTCCGCAAGGCTTTTTTCTTTCTTTCTTTCTTTCTTTTTTTTACAGGAGGATTTTATATCACGTGTGAGTCGAGAGAGGACCACTTTCATTTTCTCGTTTTCACCGATGTTTTCGGAAACCGGACTTACGGAGTTGTGGTCCAGTATTACCAGACTATACAAGTATGTTGTTTTTTTTAATTGGCTATTTTGGCCGTAATAAAGTTATCCTAAGCTGGATCGTTTACTAGTTTCAGAATGTATTGATGAAAGTTAGTCCTCGTCTTAACGTCCAGTCCCCTAGCAATCATTTGATGTTATGACAGCGTTGCTTGAGCAGAGTCCGCAAGATTGTCTGGGACACTACACATCCTCTTCACAACCTGCTTTCCTTGTTACCTTCTGGGAGGAGGGGGCTCCGTGGTATCCGAAGCAGAACATCCAGATTCAGCCACAGTTTTGTTCCATACAGTATCAACCTTGTGAACTCTCAAGCTTCCTCTTTCCACTATGTATTCAAGATGGACAGTGATTCATATTGATACGTTACTTATATGTAAGGGTGTAGGTCTATACATACGTTGTATTTAGTATGTTTTAAATGTGTGTTATATATGTGTACACTGAGAGCAAGCAACTAAATTTCATTTTTAATGTGTGCTTCAACACTTATAGACAAATCTATTATACCAATGAGATGTCTCAGTGGTTAAAGAAGCTGAGCTTGTCAGCTGGAGAGCTGATAGCCCTGGCTCAGATATTGGAGTGCTGTGCGATGGGGTGAGCTCCTGTCCGCACCCAAATTCCCAAATTCATGTTCATCTAACTGATCATCTCATCCTCTGCCATCCTCTTCTACCTTTGCCTTCAATAAATCATAAATAGAGTNCCAATGAGATGTCTCAGTGGTTAAAGAAGCTGAGCTTGTCAGCTGGAGAGCTGATAGCCCTGGCTCAGATATTGGAGTGCTGTGCGATGGGGTGAGCTCCTGTCCGCACCCAAATTCCCAAATTCATGTTCATCTAACTGATCATCTCATCCTCTGCCATCCTCTTCTACCTTTGCCTTCAATAAATCATAAATAGAGTAGAGTGGACTAGACTAGACTAGAATAGACTAGAATAGACTAGACTAGAATAGAATAGAATAGAATAGAATAGAATAGGAATAGAATAGGAATAGAGCTGGGAGGAACTATGGAGGTCTTCTAGTCCAGCCCCCTGCTCAAGCAGGAAAACCTATACTGTCTCAGACAGATGAATATCCAGTCTCCTCTTAAAAATCTCCAGTGATGGAGCACCCACGATTTCTGGAGACAAGCTGTTCCACTGGTTGATTGTCCTCACTGTCAGGAAATTTCTCCTTAATTCTCTCTGATCAGTTTCCAGCCATTGTTTCTCGTCCTTCCCTCTGGTGCTCTGGTGAACAACCTGGCCCCCTCTGCCTTGTGGCAGCCCCTCAGATACTAGAACACTGCTATCATGTCTCCCATATTTCTTCTTTTCTTTATACTAGCCAAACCCAAATCCCGTAGCCGTTCTTCGTATGTTTTAGCCTCCGGGCCTTGGATCATCTTAGTTGCTCTTCTCTGAATTTTTTTTCCCAAACTCTCAACATCTTTTTTGTGATATGGTGACCAAAATTGGCTGCAGTATTCCAGGTGTGGTCTTAGGTAGGTTAAACTTAATAGATAGAAGGGGTGTGATGGCTCAGTCATTAAAGATGCTGAACTTGTCAGCTGGAAAGCTGACAGCCCAGGTTTGAGACCCCAGCACTGTGTGTAGGGGTGAGCTCCCGTTCCTTGCCTCAGCTCCTGTTCCACCTAGCAGTTCCAAAGCATGCAAATGTGAGTAGATAAATAGGTACCACTTTGGTGGGGAGGAAACAGCGTTCCCTGCACCTCAAGACACAGTCCTGCTGGCCACATGACCACGGAAATCGTGGTTCCCCTGGCTAAGAAACAGAGAACACCACCCCTAGAGTCGGACATGGCTGGACAGCGGAAACCTTTACCTATATTATACAAATACAAAATTAAAAGCAAAGTTAATTTAAACAATAGAAATGTGAAATAAAGAAAATAGGCATTTTTTAAATAAATATTTTTATTGAGTTTTATAAAGGTAATAAAGGGATAGGGTCAAAAAGGATAAGACAACGGGAAACACACAAAAAGGCTAGACCAGGGGAAAGGGGTAACACAAAAATGGGATTAATCCCACAAAATAACATCGCTTCAGCAAGTCTACCAGTCCGGATTTACATATTAAATCTTAATAATTACTCTATTATTGAACAGCTTTCCATATAATCATGTAAATAACAAGTTAGTCAATAAATCTCATTCATTTCACTACTTAACAATGCTTAGTATTAATTATAATCATTTTAAAATAATAGTATATTACATATTAATTATAGTTTACCATATTGTTTAAGATCACAAATATACAAAGAGGAAGAAGAGGAAGAAGAAATAAGAACAAGTTCGTACAAATAATCATGGAATATAAATACAAATTATCAATTATCTCTTTACATTTCATAACCTTTTCTCATTCTAGCGTGTTTCTAACCAATAATAAAAATTTCCCCATGTTTTAAAATAAATTGTGTCTTCTTTCTCTTTCATTTCTAAAGTTAATCTATCCATTTCTGCACATTGGAGTATTTTTGTTATTATAGCCTGGTCAGATGGTAAATTTTCATTTTTCCAAAATTGGGCAAATATTATTCTTGCAGCTGTCAGCACATGCCATATTAAATACTCTTTCTCTTTTCCATAATTCAAACCTAATATTCCTAACAAACAGAGTTCTGGTTTAAATTCTATCCATATTTTAATCATCTCTTCTAGCCACATGTGGATCTTAAACGAAAACTTTTTAGCATTAGGACATATCCACCAGAGATGGTAATAAGTGCCTGGTTGTTGTTTACATTTCCAGAAAATAGGCATTTTTTAAGAGAGCCTGGCCTTGGAGCAGTTGTTATCCTGGAAATGTCCCTGTGAAAAGGCCTTATCTTCAATTTTTTGTTTGAAAGACAGATGGCGAAGGAGTCAACCAAGCATCACTCGGGAGAAACATCCACAATTGAAGTGTTGTCACAGTTGAGCGGCACTCGAAGGCCTGGTTCAGCCATACTGATTCTATCATACTGTAATTGTGATGTCTGTGTGTGTGTGTCTGTCTGTGAATAACACCCCCTTCCTTTCTTGAAAACAGGATTCTTTGAAAGGCCAGCAACTCACCAGCAGTTGTTGTGTTTTTCTTTTAGGAGGGACGCCTTTACAATGGGCAGGCACGTTGGGACAACCTTCAGCACCCCACAGCCGATTCGTATTTTGTACCCTTTGCGGTTTGTGTCATATCCAGGTACCCTTATTTCAACGCCTTGAAGGACTGCTTGTCTTGGTAAGGATAAATATTGGGGTGGCTTTTTCTTTCCGAGGGCGAGCAGAGATGGCTGGGGTAGAGCCAGGATTTTTTTTAGCAATTACAAGAATTGTCAAAACAGGCCGGGAAGAGGAAGTCGAAGGAAGCTTAACCCAGACGACTAATCAATACCTTGATAATTCAGCATTGATGTGGACCTCTTCCTCTGAACGTGATTTCAGTTGTCACAGTTTCGATTTCTTCCATGAGAAATCGTGTTGATTTCTGTTGGATGGTGTTTCCCATGACAATTGACCAAAGGCAGGCACAGCCACACTCCTCTGTGCATTAATGATTCACCTGCAGAGATGGTTACCACATTCCTGGGTGTGCAGTTAACAAGTAGGCTGGCTTGGTCGCTCAACAGCGAGACCCTGGTGAAGCGGGCACAGCAGCGCCTGCATTTTCTGCGTTGCATGAGAAAAGCACATCTTCCTTCCCCTGTCCTCACCACTTTCTACAGAGGGACGATCGGGAGCATCCTGTCATACAGCATCACAGTCTGGTTTGGAAGCATCCCTGCTTCAGAAGGGAAGGCTGTGCAGAGAGTGGTGAGGATGGGTGAAAAGATCAATGGCAGTTCCCTCCCTCCCATCCAGGATGTGGCACATAAACGATGCTTGAGCAGGGTCTGTAAGATTGTCTGGGACACTACACACCCTCTTCACGACCTGTTTTCCTTGTTACCTTCTGGGAGGAGGGGGCTCCGTGGTATCCGAAGCAGAACATCCAGATTCAGTCCCAGTTTTGTTCCATACAGTATCAACCTTGTGAACTCTCAAGCTTCCTCTTTCCACTATGTATTCAAGATGGACAGTGATTCATATTGATACGTTACTTATATGTAAGGGTGTAGGTCTATACATACGTTGTATTTAGTATGTTTTAAATGTGTGTTATGTATATGTAAACTTTTGAGAGGAAGCAACTAAATTTCATTTTTAATGTGTGCCATTGTGCCCATAGTAAACAATGACAATAAAGGTTTATCTATCTATTTATCTATCTATCTATCTATCTATCTATCTATCTATCTATCTATCTATCTATCTATCTATCTATCATCTATCTATCTATCTATCTATCTATCTATCTATCTATCTATCTATCTATCTATCTATCTATCATCTCTGTCTGTCCGTCCGTCCGTCCGCCCGCCCGCCCGCCCGCCCGCCCGTCCGTCCGTCCGTCCGTCCGTCTATCTATCTATCTATCTATCTATCTATCTATCTATCTATCTATCTATCTATCTATCTATCTATCTATCTATCTATCTATCTAAATACAGGAAGTCCTCAACTTACGACCCAGAATTTCCATTAGTATCCCTTCTAAGTAGTTTCTTAGAGATTTTGATAACAGAAGAGGACGGGGCCCTCCTGTTATAAATTCACAGCTTCTAAATTTTTTAAGCAGTGTGTTGAATTTTATGTTCTACTGGCTGGACTTTAATTTCATATGGTAATAATAAGTCATTAAGCTGGCAGGAGTGGAGCTACAAAACTGGATTAAATTTGCATGAATTGTTCTGCAAGCTTAATTGCATAAAACCTAAGATCCGTATTTGGGTAGGAACAATCAGAATTGCATTCGTGCACAATTAAAGAGCAATAAAATGGTACATTGTTTGCAGAAGAAACAAATGTTTGAAAGGCAGGAGAATTCTTCTCAGGCGACTTCTACTCAAACTGTTTTCTTATTCCTTGCTGTTATTTTTTTTTTAATTGCAGCTTATTGCTACGGCTGAAGCCTTACAAAGATTTAGAAATCGAGCAACATCTAAAAGAATTTGCAGCAAGGTTATCCTTGATACCCAGCCCTCCTCCCGGGCAGCTTCATCTGGTAAATACTTAAAATATACTATACTTTATGATTTCCTGTGCTTTAGTGCGAGCAAGGATTGTTAAGTAAGGTTCTACATTTTGGCAAGAAACAAGCCAACACGGTGCTAGTCTGCATTAACAGAGGGGTAGAATCAAGATCATGTGAAGTGTTAATACCACTTTACAATGCCTTGGTAAGGCCACACTTGGAATCCTGCATCCAGTTTTGATCACCACGATGTAAAAAAGATGTTGAGACTCTAGAAAGAGTGCAGAGAAGAGCAACAAAGAGGATCAGGGGACTGGAGGCTAAAACATATAAGGAACGGTTGCTAGAATTGGGTATGTCTAGTTTAATGAAGAGAAGGACGAGGGGGGACATGATCGCAGGGTTCCATTATCTCAGGGGCTGCCCCAAAGAAGAGGGAGTCAAGCCATTCTCCAAAGCGCCTGAAGGCAGGACAAGAAGCAAACTAATGAAGGGGAGAAGCAACCTAGAACCAAAGAGAAATTTCCTGACAGTTAGAACTATCAGTGGAACAACTTGCCTCCAGAAGTTATGGGTGCTCCAACACTGGAAGCTTTTAAGGAGAGATTAGTCAATCATTTGTCTGAAATGATATAGGGTTTCCTGCCTGAGCAGGGGGTTGGACTAGATGACCTCCAAGGTCCCTTCCAACTCTGTTATTCTATTCTGTTCTGTTCTATTCTATTCTATATTCTATATTCTATATTCTATATTCTATATTCTATATTCTATATTCTATATTCTATATTCTACTCTACTTCACTTCACTTCACTTCTATTCTATTCTATTCTATTCTATTCTATTCTATTCTATTCTATTCTATTCTATTCTATTCTATTCTATTCTATTCTATTTGCTTTTTTAAAGCAGTAGCATTTGAGAAAGGAACGGTGCAGACTTCCTTCTCAATCTTTGTAAGCCCAGCAGGAAACACCACGAGATGAGCTAATTGTATTTTATTGCAGAGTTACATTAACAGAATCTCGTAAATCTGAAAGTACAAATCTCCCACAGTA